ATATTGTGGGGTTTTGAGCCAAAGCGAATAGAGGTTTAAGAGATTCATCGGCTCCTTGTTCCTGCCGAATTTCTTCAATTCCTCCCGTCTTCTTAACAAGCTCAGCAACCGTAGCGCTGGATTCCGGACTCTCCTCCCCATCCTGTTGTATGGCAAAACACATGGCTTTTTGATCATGGCTTTCGTTGTTATATTCTTCCTCTTCACACGTCATCCTCCAGCTTTCAATCTTCTTAGCCAAATCATTTCCAATTAAACATCTGTATGGTATGTCAGGACTGACTGCAAAATCCCACATACCCTTCCATCCTCCATATTCTATTGGCAAAGTCACTACTGCTGTTGGTATCGCAGGTCCTAAACCTTTTAATCTTATTTCAGAGGTAGGCCGCTGAAATTCCTGAGGTATTATTTCTGGATGCACTATACATACTTCAGAGCCTGTATCTCGAAGTCCTTTCATGTCTTTGTTGTTAATAGAAATGGTTTCTAAGTAATCTTTAGATGGGCTGCCTGACAAGATGAACAAACATTGTTTCTCTTGAGGCTCTGAATCTGAACTCTTCTTTGACACAGTATCTGGTTCTAGCCAGAGTGAACCAGAGGATTCTGGGATCGTTGGTTCCCAAGGCAAAGATGCTTCGATGCTAACAGAAAAAGGGGCCGAGGAAAAGGTTGAACGGCCAAGGCCAGATAGTGATAGTGAAAGGAATGTACTAATTGGCAAGCTGAGGGACGACCAGACACTCTTAATAATAATAACAACAACAACAACAACACTTTATTAGTACCCTGATACCATCTCCCCAAGGGACTCGGTGCGGCTTACATGAGGCCAAGCCCAAACACAACAATGCAGGCAATAATACAACAATACAAGCAATTAAAATAAAACATAAACGATAAACATATAACATTATCAATAAGACAACATACAATTAAAAATTGTGGGAAGGCCAAATGTAAAAATTAAAATTGGAAAAGTGCTGAGGCATGGACGAAAAGGCGATAGTGGCGTTTGTGGAAGACATACGAGCAGACCTAAAAGTATAAAGTGCTTTGGAGGGACAAAGTGCTATGGGATCATTATTCCGGGAAGGCACACTCGCACAACCACATCTTCAAGCTCCTCCTGAAGACCCCAGGGTTGAGGCCTGCCTGATGTCCTTAGGGAGTGAGTTCCAGAGTTGAGGGGCCACTACCGAAAAGGCCCTCTCTCTCATCCCCACCAATCGTGCCTGCGATGCTGGTGGGATCGAGAGCAGGGCCTCTCCAGATGAACGAAGAGATCGTGTGGGTTCGTATACAGAGATGCGGTCACACAGGTAGGCGGGTCCCAAACCGTTCAGGGCTTTGTAGGTAAGAACCTGCACCTTGAATTGGGTCTGGTAGATGAATGGCAGTCAGTGGAGCTCCTTGAACAGGAGGGATGACCTCTCCCTGTAAGGAGCACAAGTTAACAACCTGGCTGCCGCTCATCTAAAATTTCTGGGCCGTTTTCAAGGGCAGCCCCACGTAGAGTGCATTGCAGTAGTCCAGTCTTTGATAGGAGAAGTCAAATCAATCATCATCATACCTGGAAGGGGGCAGAAGACGGTCTGAAAGATTAAGAGAATCAGGGGGTCAGGGAGAGGTTTCCCAAGGGAAAGGGAATGCTTTTGCCATGGCTTTCTGAATAAATATAGGGCCTGTGAGTCTATACTCTTCAGTAAGTCCAACATTTGGTTTTCATGCCTGCTTCATGCTTGCTTGTTCATGCGGGGAATCATGTATAATCTTGCTTTGTATTCATGCACATGCTGAGATTTTTGTAAGCTGGTGTTTGTGATTTCAAGCTACTGCATTTAGATTATTTGATTCAAGTTGGCTCCTGTTTCTTCAAGGGACTTTTGCATTTGCCACCTTTGGAAAAGAAAGACTTTCTTCCTATGGATTTGCTTCTTGGATTTTGGGACTGATTTGTCTCCTAACTTGGATTTGGGTTATTTGCTGATTTTGTGGACATCACCTTTTCTCTATTTGAATGCTTTTTACCTTTTTGACTATTGCTATAT